AGAAATTTCAAATTCCAGTACAATTTGAGAGTCCAACTACTCTTAATCAAGTTGTAAACAAGGCCGGAGCTATTGAAGTAGTATATTCTAAAGGAAATGCTCATTTTGCCTATTCTCTTCAACCAACCTCCTTTCAATCTCAATTCTTTAGAGAATATACTACTCCAGCTTATATAGCAGCACTTACCCAACCACAAAATAGTCTTCGGGATGACCTTATAAAAGCTATATAGTATATTGCTAGGTTTATGTAACAAAACTAATTAAAATCCCAACCATCTCAAAACCAAAATCAAAATAATTATAATAACAATTATAATAATAACAATTATAATAATAATTATAATAATAACAATTATAGACCACCTTACCAACAAAATAATAATTGTTTTAGATATAATCAATCTGGACACTTTGCATCAAATTGTACTACTTCTTATTGCAATAATTGTCAACAAATAAGACACATGGCTAGAAATTGTTGATTAAATCAAATTTGAAGACTCAACAACAATAATAATAATCACAACAACAATAATAACTAGAATAATAACAATAATTAAAATAATAACAACTACAGTCAAACCTCTCTACAGTCACACCCTCGGTTCCAAGAAATTCTGTGCTTATAAGCAATTGTGCCTGTATAGAGGTCAAATTTCTTATATTTTATATAAGTTTGTTCTAAACATTGATGTGCTTATAAAGAGGGTGTGACTATATAGAGAGTGACTGTATGGAGGGCAGACTGTATAACAACAACAATAATTACAATAATAATCATAATAATTAGAACAACAATAATAACAATAATTATCAAAATAATAATAATAACAATAACAACAACAATAATCTTTCTCCTAATAACAACAACAACAATAATAATAATAATAACAATAACAATAATAACAACAACCAACACTAATATTTAAACTAAAAGAGATATTTCCTAAGGGTGAGTATACCCAAAATCAAAACCTCTTATTTAATAAAGAAGAAATATTATATATATTTTTGTTGAATGAGATAAATAAGTTGTTAGATAAAAGGGATAATAATGATAATAATTTAGAAAAACAATTCCATAATCATTAAGAAATTTTTAAATAGAGTGGATATCAATTACCAGCTACAGAGGCGATTACTATTAATTAGAAAAATTGATAATAATCAATATTGGTAGTTAATCGATACATAATTGATTAAAAAATAATTGATTTTAATTTAGGTTTATCGCTGTTTTTAAAATAGTTGAAAATAACAAAAAAATATTTTTTTTAAAGTACACTAGTACATATGTACACACAATTATTTTTTAAAAATTTATATTATATAACTTTGCATATTTTATGCACCCCTTGCATGACTATATATATTTTATGCACCTCTTACATAATTGTGTATATTTTTATATAAATATGTATAAATATGCACAATTATGCAAGAGGTGCATAAAATATGCATAGTTATGTGAGAGGTGCATAAAATATGCAAAGTTATATAATATAAATTTTTAAAAAATAATTGTGTGTACAGTCATCCTCCCATACAATCACATAGTTAGGCACATAGTAAATTTTTTTAAAAATGTGCTTTTAAAGGGGTTGTGCTTATATGGAAGTTTTTTTCTTATCAATTAAAGCATAGTTTGGTCTAAATAAAAATGTGATTACATATGATGTAATTGTATAGAAGGTAACTATATGGAGGGGTGACTATACGTATGTACCGGTGTACTCTAAAAAAAATATTTTTTTGTTATTTTCAACTATTTTGAAAACAGTGATAATATCAATTCATTTCAATCAAAATGATTTTAATTGATTTTAATTAGCAGCTTTGTTATCAATCGATTCTAATTAGTATTACTGATAATTAATAGAGATGCTGTTTATTAATTAATATTTCTTTCTGTTAATCAATTGCAAACCAATTTAAAAATTTTTTGATAATCTCTAGACAGATTATAAAGAAACTATAGAAATACTTGGGTTGAACTTAAGTAAAATTAATTACAATATAGATAATAATATCTAAACTAATTAAGTTAAAGATATACTATTTACAACCACTAAAGTTTTAGAAGTAACTATTAATGTTCTGGTTAATACTAGTTCAAAAGAATGTGTAGTTGCTAAACACTTTCTTAATAAAGTTAATCAGACAATTGATAAGTCTAGTAATATTAAAGCTATTAATATTATAGGTAATAAAACAACTCCATTAGGATGAGTTAAAAATATATCTGTTCTTTTAGGTACTAAATTAATTCATGTTGATATGATAGTAACCGAGTTTAAAAAATATAACATAGTACTTGGTAATGAATATTTAGATAAAGTTCAAGCTACTATTGATTACTATAGTGAATATATAAGTATTAAAGTAACAGACCAAATAGAGTATATTTCAATATCTTGTAAAAAATGAATAGAAGATTCTAATATACGATATCTGATTAATTTTAAAGATTATTACTCTAATCAGGAACTAAAGTTAGAATTAGAGAATAATAATAAGCCCACTGCATCAATCTATATAACTATTCAAGTTAGGGATACCTTTGCCCAATTTAAGAAACAATTAATAGCAAATATAAAAATAGAAAATGCTAATAACTCTTTAAATTCTCCTCCACCAAATATTTTTAAATTAATACAACCAGAAATTATTAAGATTAAAAATAAAAAGAAAGAGAACCAGAAAGTCTTTATACTAATTAGTAAAAACAAATCAACCTTCATTGAACATACTTTAAACAATAACCAACAACAAATTATAACCTAACTACTATATGAAAATGCTAACATCTTTGCAACTAAATTTGCTAAATTAAAAAGGACCAATATTGTATATTATACTATCAATACTGGTGAATTTTACTTAATCAAACAAAAAGCTTATAGAGTATTACTGGTTAAACAAAAACATATTGAAAAAGAAATTGCAAAAATAGAAAAAGATAGCATCATTTAAAAATTTAAAAGCCCTGAAGTTCTCCCGTTATTTTGGTTAAAAAGAAAAATGGCAAGCTTAGATTTTGTGTAGAATTTAGAAAATTAAACAATATAACAAAGAAGAACACCTATCCTCTACCAAGGATTGATGAAATGTTAAATAACCTTGGTAATGCTTAATGATTTATGTTTTTAGACTTGACTTCAGAATATTGACAAGTAGAAGTCAAGGAAGAGGACAAAGAAAAGACTGCATTTATTATTAAATATGGTCTTTATGAATTTAATGTTATACCTTTCAAATTATGCAATACTCCATCAATATTTCAAAGACTTATGGATATAGTATTAAGACCTGCACAGGTCGAATATATGAATAATGGTTAAATAATGGGATATACCTTTATTGACCCGTTATTTACCCGATATGCATTTTGGGAAATGAATAATGGTAAACTAACAGATATCAGCATTAGGGTAAGATGAAAAATAGATATTGGATACAAAATAGTAGTGATTTGAATCGGTTGGCCTATAATCAGTTAATTGACCCGAACCGAATAATTTTGGTTAACCGATTGAGAAAATTCTTAATCGGTTGACCCGATATATCCGGTTGAAATTTGGGTAATCGGTTGAGGAGAGAGTAAATGTTCCGAAAAGTTCTGAAAAGTTCCAAAAAGAGAATGAAAGATAAGCAATTTCCGAAGATAAAACGAAAAGTAGAGATAGGCAATCTTAGCTGGTTGACAACCGGTTGAATAAAATAATTTGGTTCGGTTAACCGATTAAAGAAATTTTTCTCAGTTCAAATCACTATGTGTTACTTGTACAAGATTTTGTCGTAACGAACCTGGTAGCCCTGTGAAATTTGGACCTTTTAAGATATATTTTTCTTCTATAATCTTAGTTATTTATTTCTCTATCTATTCTCATATACCTTTTTTCTATTGCTGTTTTGATTTCTCTTCGCTTTTGCTCTCTACTCTGTATTTGTTCTTTACTTTTGAGGATCTTCAAGATTAGCTTGCTTTTTTGCATCTATTTATCTAACTATTTGTTTCTATTACTTATTATTTTCTCAATATCCTTACCACTTTTGGCTTTAATTTCTCTAATTTTTTTGTTGATTTTATCGCTATTTAACTCTACTTTCTTTGTAGATACCTTCTTGACTTTGCTGATAACTCTGCTTAATACTGTTATAACTTTGTGTAATTTTGAGTTTTTCTTTTTCTTTGTACTATATGTTGCTGTGTATTTACTTGAATTCATTTTAATAGAATGTTTTCTTTGCTACATACTTGATGCCTTTAGTGATGATTCTTCATACTATATTGATATTGTCACCTGTTACTTCTTTGAGTGCTCTGTTTAACCTATTGTTTTCCAGTAAATAACATTTCAAGTCTATACTGTAATCTTCCTAGTTTTCTTTTTTTGCTTCATCATATATATAAATTAATTTACTTGGGCTTTTTGGCTTTAACTTAACTGGGATTAGTTTTTTAATCTATTGTTCAAGATGCACTATTGATCTTATGATTTCATGATTACTTGCTGTTATATATTCTGCTTTTTTGATTTTAGCTTTCTTTAAACCTATGCTTAAATCTTCTGAAATCCAGATTTGGTCAATTTATAAATTTTTTTTTTATTTTTTTTAATATTTAACTATATATATATATTATTAAATATTTAACTATAATTTTTTTAGCTTAATAAAAATAGTATAATTATTAGTTTATTATATTTAAAAATTGTACTGTATTAACAAATAATACAATTAATATATACTGTAATTTAAAAATTTTATTTTAACTTATTGATCTTAGTGAGATAATAAGGCAAGCAAATTACTATATATAGTAATTTTAGTTGTGACTATGTTGTGTAACCATGAATTTTTAAAGATCAGAAAATAATGTAAAATGAACATAGATAAATATTGATTCTTTAGTTTTGTTACTAGCTATTAACATTGTATTTTGATCTAACGTTGTTAAATAAAAACTCTAAAACTATTTGCTGAAAAATAAAAATATGGAAGATATGGAAATAGACGGGACTGAAGCTCAACCTTATGTACTTATAGAAACCGGAAACTTGCCTATTACTGTTGGAAACAGGCCTATATACACAAATGGTCGATATATTTCTAAGTCAACACCGACTCCTTTAAAGTCGACAAAAACGGGCGTAGTATATGATAGAAGAATGAGATACCATGCTAATATTCACGAAGACGAGCATCACCCAGAAGATCCTAGCAGGATTAGCTCGATTCAAAATATGTTTAAGGCAGCTGGATGTCTTGAAAAGATGATTCTCATAAATGCTCGTGAAGTTACAAAGGACGAAGTCCGCCTTGTGCATACTGATGAGCATTGGGATTTTGTAGCAAAGACATCAGGTAAGAAGGATTCGTATCAATGACGCTTATAAACCAGAATTTATAGGATAATTTCTTATGATGTATATGAATAAACCATAGCCTAATTCATGATTTCCTAATGTATACTTTATTATAGCATTGTCTGAGGCTCAATTGGGCAAAGTTGCTGATGATTATAATTCGATTTATGTAAATAAAGAAACAGCATTAAGTGCGCGACTTTCTTGCGGTGGAGTAATTGAACTATGTAAAGCAGTGGCGAGGGGGGATGTGACCAATGGTTTTGCAAATGTAAGGCCACCAGGACATCACGCGGAAATAAATGAACCTATGGGATTTTGTTTTTTTAATAATGTTGCTGTTGCTGCCCAATGCTTAAAAAGAGATTTAAAGATAGAAAAAGTATTCATTCTTGACTGGTATGATTATCTTTGCTTTTAATTGCTGATCTCATGTATATTTGGTTGTACATATAATTAACTTTTAATGTATTAATATTATATTCAATATGTCTTGAATCGATAAAGGGACATTCATCATGGTATATATTATTGTTTTTTTTGAAGAAAATTTTGACAATAATTATTCAATAATTTATATTTGTTATTCGTTCAGGTAATGGCACTCAAAAAGCTTTTTACAACGATCCTAATGTGGTATATTGCTCGATACATCGCTATGACAACGCGAATTTCTATCCTGGAGATCCGCAAGCAGGTCATACATTTGTTGGAGGTGGACAGGCCAAAGGGAAGTAAGTACTTTGTTTATGTAGTTTTCAACACACAACACGTTCCTGATTTGTTATTTTTCCTTTGATCGCAATGATGGAATCAGGACGATAAATATACCGTGGCCTCGTCCTGGAATGCATGATAGTGATTACATATATGCATTTAACAAAGTTGTAATGCCTATTGCTTATGAATTCGATCCAGATATTGTGATCGTTTCTGCCGGGTTTGACGCAGCTGAAGGTATTGAGATTACATTATATCGCCATGCACTTCTATTATTGGTTATTTATAATTACTTGAATAGGTGACCCAATTGGAGAAAATCACGTGACACCAGCTGCTTTTGGACACATGACGCACATGTTGAAGTCATTGGCTGCTGGAAAATTGGTTTTGGCTTTGGAGGTAGTCTAATAAAACATAAATATTCTCAAATTTTTTGGATTGTAATTAATCTTTTATCATCTAAGGGTGGATATAATTTGGATTCTATATCGAATTCTGCGTTGGCATGTGTAAAAGTCTTACTTGGTGAACATCCAGCTAAACTAGGGCCTATAAAGCCTAGTCAAGAATGTGTGGAGACTATTTATCAAGTCATGCGCGTTCAATCACGATATTGGTCTTGCCTTAAACCAATATATATAGATTCTACCGAAGGTAATGAATGTATTTGTTTATTTATCTATAGAATCTATGAATACTGCGTGAATGAATTACGAATTTCAATGATATCGATGTTAGTGTCAAATCACCTAGATAATTTAATGGTGTTGTGTACATCATGTTATTATTCCAATTGAAATTTCCATGAACATTATCATTTGGTGATACTGTATTATATTTAGTCATTATGTCGAATTTAGACTTGACTATTTTTGTTTATTTTTATTGCAGAGAAAGTGCCAGGAAAATTAGTTATTGATATAATGGGTAAGACTAAAAATTTGCTGTAGTTTGAATTATATTTTCTAAATTTTCAAGTCGTATTTTTTACGTAAAGACATGGTGAAGCTATTCCGAACAAGGTACTTATTTTCGAAGCTTAAGATGGTGCCGGCTCCATTAGCGCCAGAACGATTAGCTAATCGATTTACAGATCTAGTTTGCTGTAGGCAAGATATCATAGTCTATTAAGTTTTGATTTATTTTTTTTCGGTTTATAATTAAGCAGTTGTACATTATTTTTGTCCTTTAGTAATGATTTGCATTGCAAAGATGTAATAATTTTCTTTGTACATGACATGTAAGCAATAAATAATTCAATTTTAATTGTTTTTTCCATCTTTATCTTATTTAACCACATATACTTTATAATTATTTAGGGCAGATTACAGGTACTCTATCAGAGCGTTGCTCATTTATTATGACCATTAATTATTTTAATATTTTATTTAATTCCTTAGGGCTGACACGTGTGCCACTTCGAACTTAACCAATCTTGCGACATCATATATGGTCTGTTTGCCAATTGCTTATTCAAATATATATATTTTTTGTCATATATTGAAATAATTTCTTATATTATTTGAATATTCTTTATAGAGTGACTCAGTATATCAGTATATAGAAACCATAATAAACCAAAGTTACGGCATCGTTGACGTTGACGTTCCTCCAGCAACCAATGTATGTTTATCAACAATACTATCCGTTTAATTAACTCGTGCATTAATGGATCTTTGAAAATATTTATAGGATACACAAAAATCGGATCTCCACGACTTAAAAGATTTGTTGATTTTCTTATGGGATCATTTTGTGGAGTAAGTTTAAAAATAATCTACTATCATGTTCGCTGAGTTATAAACAATGTATTTATAAATGTTTATGTATAGCTACGCAAATCCTAAAAAAGTTGTTATAATTGGTGCAGGAAGAGGATGCAAGAGTCTAATGCATTGTATAAATGACCGAGGTAAGATATATTTTTTAAATTGTAATTAATTAATTAATTAATGATTATTATGTTGTTATTGTGTGTTCTACAGACACAATGATTATGCGGTCCACTGCCTGCGTAATAATGGTGCCGGGAAACAATGATTCAGTTCCAACAATCGCCAAAAAAGGAGACATAGTAAATTGGTATTTTGATGTAGGTTTTTTTCATTTATTTAAATGAATAGATAATGCAGTTTTTACGAAAATTAAGAATATTGTAATTTTAGAATTCCCTCGTAATTCTTCCTGAAAATCATGTTTATTGGTCCAAAAAGGGCGGGAAAAAAGACTCTGGAAAGTGTATACAAGTTCCAGGTTTGTTTAAGTTGCAATTCATATTTATAACATTTTCATATTCAATATAAATTAATAATAATTTTATTATAGGACTTAACAACCTGTCAATTCACGATAAGCTTCACATATTGAGACAAGATATAATTGAATATTTTCATCAGCAGCTAGGGTTGCCAAAGTCCTTAGGTCCGGGACTTTAGGATCTGGTCTTTAAACCTGGTCTTTAAAGACCAAGTCCAAAATTTAAGGACCTAAGGTAGGGTCCTTAGGTCTTTAAAAAGTCCTAATACAGTATACAAATTAAAATTTATTAAAAATAATAAATCTGGACAACCTAATCAATATATATACAGTATAATTTCAATAAAGTTTTAAATGCATAGTTTAAGATCATAATCATTTATTTAATGTATATAGTTCACATAATATTATTACACATTCTAATAGGTAAATGGCAATATGTACATTGTGAAGGGGTAACGTGAACTAGCCGCAGCAAAAAACGTGATCTAAGCCATAAGACTCGGAACCTTAATGCGCATTGATCGAAAAAGTGATGGCATTTAATAAATGCTGACTTGAGGCAAAGCTCCATTGAAGAACAATAGTAAGGCGCCTCTATGGTGGGAACTAAAGTCATAGTCATGTAATTACTCATCGTTAGTCATAGACTCCCCCGATATTCTAAATAGTCATATTGCTTAGAGATTCTAATCGTAGTAGCAAAGCCCAAAGCTCTGTAATGTATAAATAACCATCGATTTCATGTATCTGAAAATAAGTCAAGTGTTATAATAAAGACCATCTAATGATAAACTCCGGGAATCCTAGTAACAGTAGGAGCCTTGGTTCTCGAACCAAATCTTCCACGCTTTCTTTCGAGTAGTCTGATTTTTGTTGTGTCTTAGGTTGCGAGTACTAGTCAGCCCAAATCCGCCTTTTACAACACATAGCGGACTTAAGTTAACAGTTAACTAAAGTTTAAAACTGGTTTTGTAAGGACTTGGTCCATAAGTCCATGCAGTAAAACTTACAGGTTACGAGACCAGGACCGGACTTTACCATCCCTATCAGCAACTAACCAAATTTAATCCAACGCGTTAATAATGATCTATCCGTTGAAACTTCAATGTAAATACGTAATTAAATAAACTAGTGGAAGAGGTCGAAATCAACCAAAGGAATATCTGATGGTAATGCATTGTTTTCATCTTGATGTTGACATGGATGTTATGGCAGTTACATCCAGACATTTCCTAAAGACTTTCATCCCACTACCGATTTTAATTTGGTAATTGATCCTGAAAACTCGTTGCGAGATATGTATAACAACATAATACTATTAATATTAGAATCATGTCAATTTACATATTTTGTCTTGGTGTGGATGATCCTATCGGATATTTTATACATTCTTTTAATTAGCAGATTCAAGTTTATAATTATTAGAACTTTGATCATTACTTATATATATAACTATATGTAGTAAAATTATATTTTTTTACATTCTTTATATAATTTGTTGCTGTGACTTCTATTAGTGCTCGGCACAATCAAACAAAAATTTGACAAATACTTGTTAATACTTATGTTTAAATCGGATGTCAAACGATTGCAGATTAACCAAAGCTAAATATATACTATTGGTTAATCTGCAATCATTTGATGCCCGACTTAATCACAAGTATTAACATGTCAAATTTTTGTTTGATTGTGTCGAGCACTAACTTCTATAAAGAATATACAGTATAATTTTATGTTTTCGTTACTACTGTACTAAGACCAAGCGAGATCACATGAGGTTACATTCTTTTTGATATTTTATTAGGGGATAAGAAAAAAAATCAAAAATCGTTAATGCTGTATCACAAAATTTTATTAAGAAAACCAAACTTAGTGGCCTTAAGTAAAAATTTTCAGCACTTAATTTTACACACAAATACACCTTTAACCCTAATCTACTAACTATAAGTTACATTTTTTCTCATACCGAGTATCATACCCTGCGGATAAATTCAGAAAAAAATTTTATTAAAAATCATCAAAAACAAAATTTTTGCTACGCTTCGGGCAATTAAAAGTGATTAATATAATAAAATTCTTAAAATTACAATACTATTTAAATTAGCTATTACATTAAAGAACATTATCGTTATGTTTGCAAAGCAACGTCCTATTGACGCGTTCACTTATTTTCAATAAGATTCAGGGTTTAAAAAAAATCTTAGTTGGTTGATGCGTTAAAAATTCTTCCAGTATTAATGTATTCAACCTGTTGGTTTAGAATGACTCTAATTTAATCGTTAGCTTCCAGTTTAATAGTATCTTCTGGTGATTGCCGAACAGTGTTAATAAAGCAATTGGTGAAAATGATGCACAGACATTGATACCTCAGGAGAACTTTAGTAATCACGCGAACGGTTTTAAAGCGATATTGGAACAATGAGAATTATTATCTTTAAATTATCAACTAGTCATATGAATAATATTAATAGATTTGAGACGTCTTGAAAAAACACGACAGAAACTGAACGAACAATGATATCATGTGACAAATTCCACATTGTTCTATTTATAGGATGTCTAAAGCGGGAGATATAGATAGATTCTTATTAGGGTTAGGGTCACTTTAGCATATAGCTAGGTTTGGATTCAAGGTATTTTTATATAAGAAAAGTTGCCTTCCCAACATTCTCGTTTTACTTCGCTGGGATCGTCAGATCCAGTGTTGAAAACATTTTGTGCAAGAAAATTTTTATACAGGAATGTTATTTTATTTTTTGTGCAATTGCAGTGATTGTTAATTTTTGTGCAAAAAAACAATACATGCACAACGAATTTTCAGATCTATAATTTCGATTAGTGCGACGTCACGTGATTCTGATCTGCAAGACGACCCCTATTTTTATAGCACGTATTTTTACTATATAAATTATGCCGAAAAATCGATCGACGAAATCATGATAGACAAGGCTATGCAAGATTTCGTCAATTTATTAATAATTTATTAGCACATTATATAACACGTGGTCTTAAGATACCAAATTCTGTAATTAGTAACGGTAATGACTGTTACTTGGGACTCAATACCGATACTTTAGTCATGATGATTAAACAGTTGTTTCATTATTAAAAAGAAACAGTCTCGATTCGTGTGTGTATGCATACTCGGCCACGTAATCGTATTAGACTTGTATGAATAATATATTTTTTTTATACGTATTAATTACTCGTCACATGCATTCATCTTAAATGGTTTGTCAAACTAACGCTGAGTTTTTCGCTAAACCTTATGAGAAAATGGTTCTAGTAATTCAGCTTTAAATATATGTATATTTTTAGAATTAAAAAAGAAAATCACATGACTTTCAAAATATTAAAAACAAGGGAGCCGTTTATTACGTAATTTCTTTTTATTAGAAGGCCAAACTCCTTCCCCTATAGGTGATTGAGTTAACGGCCAATCTATATATAACATATAGGCGTGATAGACTGCTAACTCCCTCTTAAAATTACGTAATAAACGGCGCTTCCCTAATCGGATATCACTAGTACCCGGGTATTTCATACTTCACGTGACTCAAATCTCAGTATATATATATTTATCCATTAGAAAAAAATTTTTTATTATTTATCGCGATCATCGATTTGTATTTGGGTGTATATCCTTATAAAACACCACGCACTTGGTATAAATCCTGGAGGGTACAAATCAAGAGGGTACCATCAAAGGAGGTATCTTGCACGCAGATCGGCACTATAGTCAAATGATCGACACATCTATAAATTTCATAATTTCAACATAAATTTGTAAATTTGCGTCTCGGCCTTTATTCAGTGGCAAGAAGTTATTTTAATTCTGCACAAAGAGTTTAGCATTTTAAGGTTCTTCATGTAAAATTTTAATTGTGGTTAAAAACAAAATTAAAAATAATCAAAGCCTTAAAGTTTAATTATTTTTTTCACGATTTGTATGATCAGCAAAATCTGTTAACTTCGTTATCGATTATGAGCTTAAATTATGTAGCTAAATTTTTTTATGGACGATACAGCTTCACAGATCAGGCCGTGCTGAACGGATAATTCACCTGACTAAACTGTCAGGTTAGTTACCAATCCCAACTTAATCGAGTCAGGCTGGTCATTTGACCCGAACGTATTCTATTCGAAGTTCTAATCACATTACTACAAATCATAT